CACTTTATGGGTCCAAAATTCGCAAATTTTCCAGTCTTTGGCCTGCAATTTCCAAGGTATAACTATAAGTTATTTTCATATAATTATTATGATGTCGTAATCAGCTATACGAAACAAAACATTTAATACTATTATTGTTCGATTCAAAGAAATTTTATTTTCAAAATATTTGAACCCGAACATAATGATATATGTAATTTTTGAATTTTTTTTGAAAAGTTGATTCCTATGGCTATAGTCGCGGTCGAATAATTGTGATTTTGTATCAAAAGATTTTTCTGATCGAGCTGATTAAAATTCCGTTCATTCGTCCGGTTTTCTCTGAGACGTAATCCATATAATGGAGACTTTCACTTAATTGGGAGGTTGTTGTGCAATGTACATCCACAATGCAGGAGTTGTTGTTATTGGTGAAAATTATTGATGAATGATGAAGTCTGATAATATTGATATTTGCTAATATTGATGTGCTCTCGTAAGGTAGGTAGTTATTCGTCTTAACAATGTCAAAATTACATAAACAATTTCTAATTTCTAAACAAGGCAACAAGCTTGACACCGTTAAAAATCGAGTGCGATGATGTGAACCCTGTTTGGACTGGGTCGGGCTTTTTAGATACTGCCCCAAATTTATCAAAATCGGAGACAAAACATTGTGTGCGAACTCATGGCACTTATAGTCATAACTATAAGTATATAAATATACTTAAAGTATAAATATAAATAAAGTAATTAGATGCAGCTAGTTAGCAGAGCTAGTGAGCGGAGTCAGACTGTGATATATATATATGTTTAAATAAATAAAAATATATGTTTAAATAAATAAATATACGTTTAGCTGGATGCTAAACGAATCCGTTAAACGGTTGATATTTTTATTAATGTTTGCCGAGGGTAAAGATTAGAGTGGTCACAAGTACGCGTTCACCATGTTAATTAATTAGTACAGTTATCATATATTATTAAATTCAGTATATCTTCATCTTGGTAGTCAAAGTAATTTATTCAACGCGCATGTTCCTCTGTAAAAAGCTCAGAATTTGATGTTTGACAGTGACACCGAAATACTGCTGGGTGACCGTCCTTTTTATAAAATCAGTGAATTAGAAACTTCAAACTGGCCGCCATGTTACTGTCACCAATCTGTGGCCAACATTGGACCAATTTTTATTATTGGTCCGATGTACTTGTTTTAATTTTTGATGACATGAAAGGAACCGCAGTAAAAGAGGGAATGGTCGAGCATGGCATAAATGTGGATTTGGTAATAAGTTTATTGAGTAAGTTAGTAACAATATTTCAAAATAAAACATTAACGGCTTAAAGCCGACACACAAATCCTAAGCTCATAATGCCATAACATATCACTAAGAAATGAGAACAGTTTCTCGTTTATTATCTAAAGAAATTAGAATGATGTTAGGCTAGTATAATACTGATTACGTTCAATAAATATCTAAGTATCCTAATAAAGCTCATAATGCCATAACAATTGTTAAGAAATGAGAACCATTTATTATCTAAAGAAATTAGAATGATGTTAGACTAGTATAATATTGATTACGTTCAATAAATATCTAAATATCCTAAATAAATATCTAAATATCCTATAAAATGTCCTATAAAATATCCTATAAGCTCATAATGCCATAACATATCGCTAAGAAATGAGAACAGTTTCTCGTTTATTATCTAAAGAAATTAGAATGATGTTAGGCTAGTATAATATTTATTTCGTTAAATAAATATCTATTAACTGCAGACTCTCTGTTTTCTCCGAGAAGATTTAGGACTATAGAATGCGGAAATGATATGAAACTAGTTGTATGCATATTATTATTGCATAATTATGCATATTATTATTGCATAATTTACTAATTATCCGAGGTGATTTTGGACGTGATGATGATTTCAGATTTTCGAAAGTTTTTCAGCCCTTATGCTCAAAATTTCAGTTTAAGAAGCCAAAAATGAAGCTTAACGTGACAGCTTCTGAAGATGTGTGACTATACCTCGGGTCCGAAAAACTGGGCCCTTAAAAATAAACTAAATCTCCGAAATCTGGAGCCAGGTTTGGGAGACGCTGACTAGACGCTGACCGGTGATTATATCGGTTATACTTTAATAGCCTATAAGCTTTACATGACAGGTATCCGCGACACACTGTAACTACTCGACTAAAGATCCCTAGTAACTAATAACTCAGGGAACCCAGTAACTAATAGTTATATCAACCAACACGCACGGTTAAATACTCCAACTGGTAAAGTTACATACCCCTGATATAGGTTCTCACTGGAGTGTGATTTGCTCTACTAATGACTCAGTAGTATCTTACACCCCTCACCTGGTCCCCCCTACATGTAATTTCTAGCTGACATCTAGCATGTGGAGTAGACAATAAGCTGTTTAAAAATTAGAGACTGACTAGAGATTGTGATTGAGATTCGCATGAGGGCACTAGGGCCCTAGTAGGCTCCCTACTTCCCTAGTGGCCCATCACCGGCTATAAGTATGGACTAGGTACAAGATATTGTAAACTGTATTGTGTAATTAGTATAGAGAGAGAAACTATCTGTATAAAACACTGTACGCTAGACTTAGTATTGGCAACAATTATGATACAAAATAAGCTGATGATTTCCAGCATGGTAAATTAATTTGTAACCTCTAGTAGAGCTGTTGGATTATCACTGTCATGAAGATGTAACTAGGTGAGACCGAGCTAATAGTCGTTACCACTGGAAACCGAGCTAATAGTCGTTACCACTGGAAACCGAGCTAATAGTCGTTACTACTGGAAATCGAGCTAATAGTCGTTACCAGTGCGCGGCTCTACTTGTAGACTACAAGTAGAACCGCGCACTGGTCTCACCTATTACTCTATTAGCTCGGTCTCACATATTAGCTCGGTCTCGCCTATTAGCTCACCTAGTTACATCTTCATGACAGTTAAAACAACCCACCGTGTTAACATTGGAGGCACACTGAACAATTTAAACAAACGTGTCCTAGAATTCTGCGAAAGGGTACATTTTCTTGAGAGTTATCTGAATCATGAATATCCAACATAGTCTAGTCATGCTTCCTTTTCTTCTGAACCATCTAAATCATGAATAGCTTAGGTCTGTCTCACCTAGAGGCACACTCAACAATTTAAACGAACGTGTCCTAGAATTCTGTAAAAGGGGACATTTTCTTGAGAATTATCTGAATCATGAATATCCAACATAGTCTAGTGGCTGGTTTCTGTAGAAAATGTAGAGGGTGCAAGAGAACCCGCCAGCAGAGGTATTGTGCTAGCTGTGAATATGTGAGGTCACGAACCGGACAATATCCGGCTACAGAAGCACCGATCCCTTCAATGTAGCTGGTAATTAGCTAAAGTAAAGAACTAACGCTACAAGTCGTGTCACAAGATCAGTTCTGACTTTTTAATCGGAAAGCGAATCAGCATATTGTAGCGGCCAAATAGTATAACTATATGCAATATGCATGTATGAATGATACAGTTATATCCATTTTTAATTTCCTCCGAATCAACTAAACGAATCCTTAAAGTTAAATAGTGCAGCGTTTCTTTTATTTGGTCGCTAGCTTATAAACAATTATACTTAATTGCTGGAAAGAATTCATTGTAAAGCGGGAGGTAAAATGGTATTGAAGTTATAAATGCTAATTACAAATTACGGAATTGAGGTTATAAATGTGAAATAAAAATTACGGAATTTAGGTTATAAATGTGAATTATAAAAACATGACCTGTGCACGAGATCTCGACGCGGTGCTGGCTAGTGTTAGGTTACTAGTAATAGTAATACTGACCTTCATTAATTAATTTTAACTTCATCTAGGACTTTTCTCTTTTCAAATTTAGTAATTTTTCAAATTTAATTGTTTAGCTTTAATAGAATGCTACCTTTTACTTTAAGATGTTACATTATTCAAATTCTTCAAGTAAAATCCCCCCACCAGCATTCATTTGTTTAATCATTAATACAGGATATCAATTATCATGGTACCAGCACACCCAAACAAGCTGACAAGATGATCGCCCAAGATTGTTGCGAGCGTGCTAAATCACTCTACAGTCGATCTTCGAGATTTTCTAAAAGGGCCCCCGACAGTTGAGACCAACTTCCATAGATACTATTTTCGGACGCTGATTCCGAATCACCCCCCATGACATAGGGTTAAAATGCTCCCCTAGCGAGATATTGGCGAAAAACTGTCTCGATCACGTGATATGACCACGTCATCATCCAGATTATTGCATGGCAGCTCTTTGTTTCAGCAGTCTGCTTGGCCTTGTTAATGTCCGTTATCAGACTGATCATACTAAATTTAAAATCACCAATTATAACGTCAAGTTCCACTATCGGAAGTAATTAAATTATTTTTAATAACAGTTAAATCCTACCCATAGATGAAAATAAGTTCAAAAAGTGGCAACTGGCACATTAACGTAAACTGAAATTTGTTAACCTGGCTAGGGCTGTCGCTGAATTTTAAAAGGTTTTTGCCACATTAGTTTAAGTTAGTATTAATTCTATGGGGGTTTCTCCATGTGCTTGCTGCCCGCTTGCTGTGACAAGATGATCAAGGCCCCTGTCATGTGTCCGGAGCAAAAGGGCAAGGTGTCCACCCAAATGACGATCACCCGGAGACCATAATGGCGGAGGAGCAAAATCGCCAGAGGCGGAGATTTTTTGAGATATTGGGCCTAAATCCATTATAAAATACCCTCCTAGAGGCGCCACATGCAAGTTTGATGCAGTTTAGAAACGTTTTGAAAATAATTAAATTTGAAGCAAATTGATTAATTTGAATTTGATGGCTCTCTGGGACTTCCAAACAGGTTAAATTAACCTCTCTCAAGTTAAATTTCCTTGAGGTTAATCTGTTCACTTGAACTTTTTCTAAATTTAACCTGGTTTTGGAATTTTAACGTAAGCAGGGGTGAGAAGGTACTTTTTTACAGTGGTGAGTGGTGACCTTACCTTACTACGACCCTTCTTGAACAGTTTGTTCTGACTCTTGTTGTTCTCCGACAGCATCGCAGAAAAGGACTGTAACCCCTTTAATTTAGTCGTGCTGATCCTTTTCTGTTCACTTTTCTGTCTCTCTCGTTCACTTTTCTTGTCTATATCTCCTCCGTTCTTTCTCTTGTCCTGGTTCTCACTAGTCGCCCATCTTTCTTCCTCCCTCGGTGGAGGACTGTCCTAAAGGGTATATATATATATAGTACCATAATTAATAACAAAACTAGTCAAACTCTTCTCTAGGAAGAGAACATCTTAACTCGACAGAGAAATAAAAACAATGAAAGTTACTGTCACCAACACTGGCCAATGTTGGTGACAGAGATTGCAAAGTGTTAACATTCCCTTCCCCCCCCCCCCCCCCCCCCCCCCCCCCCCATTGCTGAGGGTGACAATGAAAAAGACTGCTACTGGCATGGGTGATGGGGGCCAATGACATAAAATAAAGAACTGCCCCAAGGTTTTTCCATACTATGTCCATAGAAATAGTCTCCATTTTGTGCCATTGGGGGGCTAATATCCTGACCTCTGAGCTGGAGGAAGCAGTAGAGGTTCTAGAAGGAAGTGTATACTCTTTATCCGGCTCACTGCTGAATGAAACTTTCGAGTGCAGCTTCTTTAACATCCTCTCTTTTGACATGTCACAGCTGGGTACGTGTATCACGTCATAGTATTGCTACTAACTTGCCTGGCTTAGGGTGATACAGATTTAGAGGTTGCTGTTCAGAAAAATCTCAAATAAACTATAAAGTTAGATGATACTCAACTACCTAATCAGTTAAAATATGATACATCAGTATAAGTGGGAATTTCAGTGGGCAGGAATCATGGTGAAGTTTTAAATTTAAGATCAATAAAACAGTACAAAGCAGATATAATGACAGTATAAAAACTATAAAGAAAAGGCAGAAAAACTGAAAGTAAGAGGTGAGATAATGCCACAACTTAGATTCCGATAGTTGTGCCACAATTACCGGCCACAACTTCCGGAACTTATAGCCCGCAAATCTGACATTAGCGACCTATACTGTTAACTTGTTAAGCAATGGCAACAACCCAATGCTCTCCTGTCCGGCTGTCCTGTTGTATCAGGAGTGCTGGTACACTACAAGCGATACAAGTCAATGTATAGTTTCGTAGAGCAGGACAATGTAAATTGCAGAAGCTATTATGGTATTGATAAATCAGCGCAATCATCATAGACACGTTCCACGAATAACTAGTCGAGCAACTAGTCGCTACTAGTCGCTACTTACCAAGCTCATTTAAACGAACAGAGTACTGGTTACCATTGGTTACCATTGGTTACCATTGGTTGCCATTACTGGTTACCATTTCTGATCCTATCTTACTATCACGTGACCAGACGAACAATTAATTACCCGGCCAGCAGCTGACCAAACCGCGAGATTGTGGTCACACACCACTACACATGCTACTGTATAGTGCACATGTTTTAGTTGCCGTGTGCACTGGTGCATCATCGTAACATGGACACGATTGGTATTAAAACAGGTTCGGTTTAACATGCTGCTCACTCCCACGCACACGTGCTGCAATTATAGAATTATTGGTCTCACCGTGCCCAATTGCTAAACGATCTTTATGTGCATAATTATGATAATTAATATTTTGTATATATACCACAGTGGCTGTGCTTTCCGCCTTTATACAGAACACAGGCGTATATAATTGATTACCTATTACAATTACAGTATGCATGATACGGTGAGTACCTACCGTAGGTACCCTCCGCAAGCATCCCTCCGTAGGATTGCCTCATCTCATTACTAAAATGAAAGTCACAACTACTAGTGCTCTAGTGCTAGCAGAGGATGATGACTTGGTGCTAATACATGTTGCATAATCAGTAATTAGTAATGAGTAGGTAGAGACTAGAGATGATGATATATGTCGTAATACAGCGACAAAATGGCACTGCACAACGTTAACCTGCGGTAACGTAAAGTAAAGCCGGGGTAAAGCCTGTTTAGGATGGTTTATTTGAGAATATAATTTAAACCTTTACAATTTGGTCTCCAAAAGGTTATTATTTCCTATGATTAAGTGACCAGTTGGAGCAGTTCAACCCTGAAATCGAGACATTGCACTGGGCGACCGACATCTACACTGTAAGATTAAAGAAAGTCTCAAAAGGTGATAAAGTCAGAACCGCGGGTATAGAGCAACTATAAAGTTACTACAGGGCTACCCTGCAATATAACATTAACATGTGGAGACTTAGCCTCATTAGCTGGCGCCAAATAGTGTCTAAGAACCATTATCTGGCTCAGTACCATTATCTGGCTCACAACTGTCTGGTGTGCGGCTATGTCACTGGTGTATTACCCTTACCCCATGTCACCTACTCATTATGATGATCATGGTGTATCGTGTCACCCGATTAGCATCGCTGAAATTTGTCGTATAAAATCGTGGTACACTTCGTGTTGCAATGTTGTGTAAGTTACACAACATTGCAACACGAATTGTTACACTGTAACTGTAAAGAAAGCATGAGTGGACTTTTCACCGAGTGACCAGTCGGCAGTTTCATTTTTAGCGGTGTTAACTCACAAACGGAACCCACTGAAACCTGGTAGCTATAACAAGTACTTAGTACATACTAAACCGGTAGCCGTATAGCGAAAATGTTTGACTCAGGGTTTAACAACACAACTTGTCAGTTGAAATGACTAATGTCTGCTTAATCGTCTCATCAAACTAAATGCTAAACCTCTACTAATCTTTGTGTGTCTCGTTTACTCATTCTGTAACTGAGGACACTAACTTAAGTAACTAACCTATTTCAAACAAGCATCCTGCAACTGTTCAGAAACCCTCTCCCCAGAAACCCTCTCCCCAGAAACCCTCTCCCCAGAAACCCTCTCCCCAGAAACCCTCTCCCCATAAACCCTCCCCCAAGAAACCCTCTCCCCAGAAACCCTCTCCCCAGAAACCCTCTCTCCAGAAACCCTCTCCCCAGAAACCCTCTCCCCAGAAACCCTCTCCCCTTGTGATTTCATCTATGAACGCTCAGGCCTCAGAGATAAACATAACTCACACAAAATGGCGTGTTAAACAGATTTTATTGAACTCTAAGCCATGCATTAGGCACTAGCTAACCCGTCATTTGTACGTGCTTTCTATGGTGTTAACAAATGATATGATCACTGAGCCCCCCCCCCCCCTCCTCTATCACTGCATTGTTATACAAGCTGTGAAGGGTGATTAGGGCTGGTAATTGTAGAGAGATCACCATTTTTTGAGTGTCTACAAAATATGACATGGGATATTACGTCATGTGTGTGTGGTAGTTAGTGCAGTACATACAATGAGTTAGATATGAATTAGTACTATCTAAATGGACGGGGCAGACTCGAAGATACGTAATTAAGAAAATGTAATCAACTATAAATGCTCAATAGTTAGAGAACATTAATATTTAAAAATCTTCAATTGCAACAAGACCCATAAAAGTTTCAGTAAATAATTCCACCGTGCAATTATTCGTGAACATATTACCACGACAGAGAGCTACAGTCACGATGTTAATTAAACTGTAATTACTACTATTAGCATTATAATCGCTCACGGAAGCACTGGGAAATGAAAGATCGAGCTTTGTTGAATGATTAATCTAGATTATTTGTTTTATCTAACATTTAATCATTATTATAATTTTCGAATCAGACTTAATGATGCTGTAATAAACAAACTTAAAATTAGTTTGATAACAACCTGGAGGGGGATTATTTAAAACATATAAGTGATACGAAAAGTTTGTTTTAAGCAGGAGCTTTCACAATATATGTGTAAATCGTCTTCAGCTGATAAATCGTCTTCAGCTTGATAACAACCATCCCGACATACCCACAATAGTACGATATGAAGGGGACGTTGATCTAGTGACGACTATTGGAAAAGGTCAAAATACCATCCTACCCAGCTTCAGTGAGCTGGAGTGTGTTGAAAATGAGCAGTACTCAATGCACAAGCCTGTTAGTATTAATAAGCCTTTCACAACGATATCTTCAACAATTGACTTCCGCTACCAAGCAGGATCTGGGATTAAAATACATCTCACACAACGAGAATACTATAGTATTTACTAATACCAGAATACTAACACTTCGTGATCATGGTTGGTTCTATTGTGAGACCCTCACGTAGGTCACGCACAGTGCACACGGTTTGCCGATACGACTACAACATAGCATGACCAAGGACGCTGGCAAACTTTCAAGAGTATGACAGTGAGCTGTGGTGAGCGCTGCAAATTATGTATACTAGGTACTTAACCTATTATATATCATCATAATATAGGTTAAGTACCTAAAGTTTCTGCACTATATTATGTTAATTAATAATTATACTCGTGTATTGAATTGCATTAAGTCGCATAATGTGCAGGGTGCGACAACTGACTCAAATAGAAAATAAAATCGACTATAAAACAATTCATTCTGCTGAACCAACACAGCAGGAGCCACATTAAAGGGCCGTCAAGAAAAGACTTTTACGTAAATTCAATATTCGGCAGTAAAGGCTACTACCAGTACTACTACTTCAAGTTAAAAAGTGCATTAGTATAATGCACTCGGTTTAACCACAAATGTAATTAGTGTTATATAATTATATTTATTGAGATTATTAGTATAGATTGCGTTATTCATTTTGATCGACATTATCTTAGCTTTTAAACTGACTGCCCGGTACTGCCGGTACCCACTGCCCGGTACTGCCGGTACCCAGCCGGTACCCACAAGTGCACTGCGCGGCTCACGCACGTAGACAGTATTTAATATAAAGATCCTCAGTATATTTTAGGATTTAACATGTAATGCTTAATACACAACCAATTAACCAATTAAATGCAATTAACTAATTAAATGCAGTTGACCCCAATCTGAATCTCATAACATAACTGAAATATAACTATAACATTAATTGAAATATGTAAATTATAAGAGACAGTCTGACGAAACAAAGTGTGGTAAGATCATGAGGTTCACAATATTTTAAAAATTTATCTTGAATTAAAGTATATATAATTCGTACATTGATATTTAATTATAGACCTTAATCCTAGAGTATTCACCCAGAACGTAGGCATACTCATAGTAATTTAATTCCAGCTGGCGCTGCTCAATTTAGGCTGCCAACAATGCTCCAATCTGAACTGAATATTTGAGATGCTTTCCATTAGTAATTACTAATTAATATACTAACGAGCGAAAACTAAAACACCCAATTTCCCTTTTATTTAATTTTAGATTTAAAATAACTTCTTAGCTGCAACACACAATTGTTAAAATAAATATGTTGTATAACTATAACTATCAATGACTAGAAGTAGAACCTGAAATATTTACAATGTTCCTTCTTCTTCTGATTGGTCAGCGTCGACTATAAGCCTTCCTTTCGGTGGCTTTCACAACGCGTCCCTATGTCTCCAACTCCTGCTGCTGGAGAGAGAGAAGAGACTCCCAAGGTATATACCATATTCATATTAATCATAGATATCGACAACAGACTCCGAGAGTCTTGAAGCTCTGTTACGACCACCCCTGGGGCCTGGTGCAACCCCGTCGGGTTAAAGACGGAGAGACAGGGGCTTCCAAGTTCCAGGGTAGATCATAGCCTGCTACGTGCAACTCGTAGGAGTATGCAGTGTTCCTGGTGGGT